GACAGACAGATAGACAGACAGATAGACAGACAGATAGACAGACAGATAGACAGACAGATAGACAGACAGACAGACAGATAGATAGACAGACAGATAGACAGACAGATAGATAGACAGATATTTATACAGACAGATAGATTGACAGATATAAAGACTTATAGATAAAAATAAAGATAGATAGACATATGGATAGACAGAAAGACAGACAGATAGACAGAAATATTAACAGAAAGAAAGTATATAGATAGCCAGTTAGATAGACAGTTGGATAAGCAGATAGATAAATAAATAGATAGGCAGATAGTTATAGACAGTACAGTCAAAGAGATAGACATTAAGACTTAATTTTAAAGCGACACATAAATGGGATAGACAGATAGATAGACAGACATACATACATTTATGCTGCAAAGAAACACAGATAAACAGATAGACAGATGTCTAGATGGTCTTGGTCCACATTTTACCAGTATTCAATCTAAAGTTGTTTAAAAATTATTAATGTTTGATATTTAGGATTATATTCCCCCCCGGGAACCAACAGTTTTCTCAACAACTTGAAATTGTTAAATCCACCAGATTATCTAGTTTCTACGCGAGGGTTAAAAACAGCGTATACGCGGTTGTTTGATCAGCTTGCCTGAGTTTAGGTTTATTCAAAATTCTGTCGGATTTAAAATTTTTTAAAAAGTATTAGATTACATGTTATCTATTACCGCAATTTATCAAAATATTTTTTTAATGGGTAATGATCAAATTAGCCTTGTAATGAAAAAATTAATTGACTAAAAGTATCACTTTCAATAAAATATTACAAAAGTTCTAAAATTAATAAGTCTATTTTTGTAAGAATTTTAATAATTAAGTCTGGAAAAGTAATACAGTTGTGTTTTGGATTTGCTCGATGCAATCAGTGCTAATTTATCCTTTATATGCTAATATATGTCGATAATCGGCGCATGTCAGTGTATTTTGTTGCTTGTAAACCAAAATTATACCCCACAACTTTACAAGCTTGCCTGGAGCTATGGCAAGAAGCGCCATCTTAAATATTAAATTCCCGCCAAAATCCAGATCCGCCATCTTGAATTTTCCGTAGCAAAAATTTCACGGATTTAGAATCTCTGGGGAACAAAGAAAATTATGACATTTCCCCCCACATCCCCCCCCCCCGCCAGCTCACGCAATCTTTACTTTGAATAAATGATGAGAGTCCTGGATTAGCGGTACGTTGTTTTCATTATAAACTCTATAAAGTCAGTGGCAACTTTGAGTAATTATACCCCTAGAATGGTAATAAATTTGATTTATAATGTCTTCTTACTCAGCAAAGAAACAAATTGTATACAACAACAAATGTATAAACTGCAAATTAAAAATCACATGACAACAAAAATTGGAATATTATGAAAGCGGAGCCATGTGTGTATTGTGTATTATCTGAGGGACTGAATACAATATCAAGTTATTCAAATAAAGTCCAAGTCAAATAAACATTTTAGTTTCAAACTTTCTTTCATGGAAAATATTTGCTCAAGTTGATATTTTATGGAAAAACTTTTTAGTCATTTTCCTTTCACTGCTTTTTCTATGCTAGGTTACCCTTTTTATTAAAAATTTTATTTTTATTTTTAAGTTTTGGAGCTCGAAAAAAAGTTTTGATTTCTTGTCTAAAGTAAGAAAAACAAGCAGTAAACTGTGATAATTTAAACCCGCCAATTGTGAACACTGAATCTTGTACAGTGTACTGCACAAGTTCGACGTTTTGTATGTGTACAGTGTACTGCACAAGTTCGACGTTTTGTATGCTGTACAGTGTACCAAAGAAGTTCATCTGCACATTATTTTTAAGATCAAACATTAAAAATAAAGTCTACATTAAGAATCCATTAATTATTTAATTCTTATGTTTCATTTCATTCCCTCACTTTTCATGTCCCAATATGTCAATTTTGATCACCATTCGCCAATGCGTCCCAATGCGTTTAATTTGATGGTGTCCCAAATTTCAAATTATCAAAGTCTCTATAACTGGGTTGCATTTACACTTATCAAATGTAAATTTTACCATAGATTACAATCTATATTTTAAATCCTAACTCCTCTTTTTAAAAATGCTATTAAGCTGAACAAATGTTCCGAATTCCTAATATGAAACCAAAAAATTTCTTTTCTCAGCATGGGCCTGAAATTGAGACTAGAGGAACTGAAATTTGCGCAAATCTCATCATTTTCTTAACCTAGATTGATGTGTCCCGCTCCGCATCTCCTTGTCCCTAAAAGGCGTTGTCCCCAAATGTCGTCTAGGGGGTGTTGTCCCAAAACACGATCATTCTTTAATGTTTTTGTTTCAAGATTAATTTTTATCGTTCAGTAAAGAGGTTTTCCGGCATGAACCTCCCCC